GAAATTTTCAGCAATTTGATGGATAAACACTGCCGCAGATCGCCTTACTGAAAAGAAAAGGTGTATTTCCATATGACTATGTATCGTCGTTTACAAAACTCGACGAGACAACTCTTCCACGAAAACAAGATTTTTACAGCAGTCTGTACGATTCAGATATCAGTGACAAAGAATACAGTGCAACGGTAGTCGATTTAGTTTTTGTACCAACATCTACTTTCAAGGGTAAAAAGTCATTCCTAAATCTTACCCCCAAAATCGTTTTCTTATTACATCTCAGCATCTAATGAATATTTTTTAATAAAACTAAGTGGAGAATATTTGGTGTAAGAAATATAAAATATTAGGCGTATTTATGGCCCAGGAGATTGCAACTCTTATTTAAAATTTTTTTAAATTAGATTTGTATTCATTTTTTTTTCTTGAAAACCTAAATATAAACTCGAAAAAATTGAGAAAAGTATTTACGTTTACTATATTAAATATTTAAGTTAACATTTTTCGAAGATTTTTTAATTAGCCATCCTCAAGCACCATTACCCGTACAGATGGTATACTTTATGTAAGTAATATAAAATTAATTTTTTCTTAAATATATTTATAGCTATTGCAACGGTAGTCGATTTAATTAATCGAACCGTTCGCGATTCTGCTTCTCGCGCGTTAGTTCGAACTATTGAGAGAGAGAGGGGGCGCGCGATCATTTGAATAAGTAGTTACGCTTCAGCTGTTTACGCGAGTTTACCGCCGATTTGTGTTTTGCACTTTGATTCGCAAAAATAATTAGTTTTCCGAACAAATACGTGCGTGAGTGCAACAGTAATATTGCAGCAGCAAGCAGCGGTGCAGAAGCAGTAGATTTGCAGCATATAAAGGCGAATTGAGGCAGTGCAGCTGATTAAGCGAGGTGCAGCGACAGTTGATAATTTTGCAACAACAATTACGGCTGATCACCGTAATTGCACCGCATGGTAGGTGCACCTTCCGTCATTATAAGCGATACAAAATACATTCAGTATTTTGTCTATTCGTGATAGCATTATTTTTTGTATTCGCGTCGAGCGTAAGTTCGCCGTATAATTCGAATCTTCTCTCTCTCTCTTTCCCATCGAATATAACTAATTGTAAAATCCTATTCGCGTGCGTTAGTCTTTCGGCCCTACAAAGACTGTAGTAATATTTATTAATTAAAGTCTGTTAAATTTATTCGCCGTTTTCGTAATTTAATTTTCCTAGTAGCTTAAGTAATTGAAAAAGGCTTAGGTTTTAATCCAATTACATCTAGAGGGATTAAGAAGATTAGGAGTAAAGTCGCTCACACTTAAAACTCAACGAGTGTCACAAGACACGTGACTTAAGGTGAGTTCAACTCCGTTTAATAGAAGACAACTAGGATAAATCATCTGACGTTAAGGCGAATACACGTACTATCATAAGTGTTTAACGGAGCGGCGGTTTGCTCTGCATCGTGGGAATTTGTTCTTAAATAAATTTCCCATTTTTCAGATAACCTCCCCCGTTAAAACAGTCACGTGGAAAATATTTGGAGAACATTCGATATCACCGATCTGGACAACTATTTGGATTTGTATCTCAAGACGGACGTTCTTTTGTTGACCGAAGTTTTTGAAAACTTCAGGGTCAAATGTCGAACGGCGTATCGTTTGAATCCGATCCACTACTATACAACGTCCAGAATAAGTTGGGATGTCATGTTGAAATATACGAGTGTAAGGTTGGATCTTTTGGCGAATATCAACATGCTCATGTTTATCGAGCGCAGCATTCGCGGTAAAATCAGCCAGTGTTGCAACAGGTACGCCGCCGCAAACAATCCATACATGGGGAACAACTATGATCCACAGAAAAATGACAAATATTTTATGTATTTCAACGTCAATAACTTTTACGGATGGAGTATGACTGGCCTCTTCCACTCGGTGATTTTGAATGGTGCGACATTGACTCAAACTTTTCTTTTGATATTCCCGATGATTCATCTTGGATACATACTCGAGGTGGATTTGGAGTATCCAAAAGAAATTCACGTTGCGCACAAAGATATACCATTTTGTCTAGAGCACAAATCTGCTCCGGAATGCAAACAGTAAAAGCTCATGACAACTCTCGATGATAAGGAGAGTTACGTAATCCACTATAGAGTTCTGAAACAAGCAATAAAGTATGGCTTATACCTCACGAAGATACATCGAGTTTTAAAGTTTAATCAGAGCCCATGGCTCAAGACATACATTGATTTGAATAGTGAGATGCGTGAACAAGTGAAAAACGAATTTGAAAAAATTCTATACAAACTGTTCAACAATGCAGTGACGACAAGACTATAGAAAACGAAAAAAAAAAAACGCATCGATGTTAAGTTGGTGAATAAGTGGGAGAGGCGATACGGTATCGAAGGTCTGATAGCTCGACCAAATTTCCACAGTAGTGACATTTTCGACGACGATCTAGTGGCGAACTAACTATTGTGGACTGAAATCACAATGAGAAAACCCATTTACCTTGCTATTCTCGAATTGTCCAAGACTCACGTGTATCGATTGCACTATCACTACATGACCAGTGCTGTTGGTAAAAGTTGCAAGCTTCTGTACACCTACACCAACAGTCTGGTGTATGAGATCACCAATGTAGACATGTACGATGTCATGCGTCGAGATATTCACGAATTCGATACATCGGATTTTCCAGAACCAAATCAGTTCAATATTCCAAGAGCCAATAAGAAAGTAGTTGGTAAGATGAAACAAGTGAACGCCGGAATGCTCATGCTCGAGTTTGTTGGACTCAGAAATCAAAATGTACAGCGTGAGAGTTCAAAATAAAAATTCCATAAAGAAAGCAAAAAGGATAAACAATTCTGTATTGAATGCTACGATTACATTCGAGGACTACGTCAAATGTCTCTGAAAAAATGTGATTCTAAGCCGCCAGCAAAAGTCTATGAGATCACGTCATCATCAGTTGTATAGCGAAAGACAAACAAAGATTGTACTCAGTGCGCATGACGATAAACGCTTCTTGCTACCTGTAACCACCGATACACTTCCTTGGGGTCATTACGGTATTCCATCGGTTGAAAGAGAGGGGATAGAAGCGTTGGGGATAGTCGCAGTCGAGCCGCCAACTGCCGACGCCACCGCCACCGTCGAGCCGCCAACCGCTGCCGACCTTGAGCCGCCGAAAAAAACTAGAGCTCATTCTCATCGAGAAAAAATTACAGATTGAATTTACAGATACCATTAGTAAAAGAAAAAAAAATGTTTTATGAAAAATATAACACCACATTGAAAAACCTTCCAAACAATCTTATTAGCAAACTTTTCACGGCAATAATTACTACTACCAGACTATAGAAACATAAACTATTGAATATATAATAAAACGAAAATTAATAAAATATATTACACATATAAGTCAAAAATAAAATATAATACTCTCTGAAGTATTATATTTTATACTTTGTTAATTTTCATTATAGCAAACACATTTACCTATTGTCTTATTTTTATAGATAGATTGTAAATAATCTTGGAGTAAATAACAAAAATTAATTCACTCTTTTCTTAGTGATACGGTTATTGAATGATCAGCTTTTACGAATTGCTGGTACTGAAGCGGCGGGGTATAACTCGCCGTCTACTCACTTCGCTGCTTGCTACGATCTGAGAACGATGCTACAAACGATAAAGCTCTTGTTGACTCTAGGTGTTCAGCTATCAACAGACGCATGATCTATAAGCTAGGGTTCAGGTGTCTTTGGTGACACGAACATGTATAAAACGCGATCATACTAGAACATATTCACGTTCGCAATTTTCCGTTACGGTCGCTTCTGATTCTACGCGCGCGCCTTAACGAATATCTATTTGTTACAATTGTTAATGTTATGATTTTTTATAAATGACTCTTATTGCTGTTATAAAGTTAGATATATGGGAATTATATAAATATATATTTGTTATATAACATTTATGTTGAAGAAATAATACATATTATTTTTGTTTAATCATAAATTATTTTGTAAAATTATTGTTTTCTATTATTTAAAACTCTAAATTATGTATATCTTTTCCAATTTCTTAAAACTTAAAAGTAATATAAATAAAAACGGCTCTAACAAGAAACCCCCCCCCCAACCCGATCTCACCGATTTCAATAATTTTTTTATATGTTCAGTTCATGAAAAAATAAGACACAAGTGTTTTTTTGTCGGTGGTAAAATACTTTGGAGAGTGAAAACCGCTCTCAAAAAGGTCGCGTTTTAAATTAAAAAAATTAAGGATTGGACCCCTCATGGTCGGAATTGCTTATTCTAGTTTTGTATTCACATAAGAAATGATATGAAATTTGTTTCGTCGTAAAATATTAATCTAAAGTTGAGATACATTGGAAAATCCATTTTTGGAGGTGAACTTTCAGCACGGTTTTCATCCCCTTAAAGTGTTTTTCCGCCGATAAGAAAAAAACGTATGTCTTATTTTTTCGTAAACTATAACATATTAAAAGATTATTGAAATCGGTGAGATTGGAGGAATTTTTTTGTAAGACGAAATTTAATTTTTATTAAAAATTACTTCTTATTATTCTACAGCGAAATCCAACTATCATGTAATCTAAGGAAGTAGAGATTTTTTACATTTCACACATACTACGTAATGAAATTTTTTTACACGATTAATGTTTTTGCTGTTTTCTCTGATATATCAAACCCTATAATCAATTCATTCTCATCAACTATCTGCATGTATATCACCGCGACTCGATCTCGTTTGGCAAATAAACCATCAGGGAAAACTGTGTTTACGAACGAATATATAAAATATACAATCAATTAAATTATTTCATAAAAAAAGAGAACATGACTTTCAAATGAATCGTACGCAATTTAGTAAAAAAATATTGAATTAAATTAAAAAATAAGTTAAAAACTATTTTTCGAAAAATAGTTATACATTAGTATAAGTATTTATTCTTACGTATATTCCTCCAAATTAATTCTCAAGAACAAAGTAGATTCTGAGATAACGGAAGAATCTCCAATGCTAAATGCAGAATCGTATTGAGAAATCGCATCAATTATTTGTCTTTGTTGTTCTTGTAATTGAGTAATTAAAGCTTTAATTTGACTGCTTTTCAATTGAGTAGCTTGTAGTTTTTTCGATAATATAATCAATTGATTTTTATAAACTAACTGCTGAGAATCTAATGATTGCTCTGTTGATTTTAAACTTTCTAATTCTTGACGCTTACTATTTATTTCATCTTCTTGAATGCGAAGTGTAGATTCTTGATCTGTTGCTTGTTGATGAAGCTTTTCAATCTGGAAAAATGGCAAACATGATATGGTTTATTTTTCGTATTAGATGATCGGCTTAAAATAGATTAATTTAGTTTGTTCATCATATATTTGAAAATTATATTACTTGGAACGAACTTCATAAACTAATTATCCCTGTCCGGTGCTATTTTGAACGTGGGTTGGTCTCAAATGAGAATGCGAGCAGTAAAATCCTCGTAGCTTAGGTGCACCTTGAATACTTCGTTGCTACGTAGACAGAATGTTAGCCCGTAGGTATGAAGATTATGAGATTGATTGATTCGAGCTGGCTGTTGCCTAAGCCAACTCCCTCCCCTCTCCAGTTCTTAGTAGAAAAAATTTTCCTTCGTGATGTGCAATTTTTAGTGAAGTACGCGTATACTACGGAAATTCGTAACAAGGAAGTATTTGACGTACATCTACGCTACATGTGAGAATGCAACATCACGACTTGCCAAAGGTATGCTCAGCTAAGCCAAAATGAAAAGTTACAGTTGGTGCCAGTAGTATAGTTAATATATCCTGGGTGAATAAAGTCCAAGTTTGTATGAAAGTACGTGTTTGTGTATGCGATGTTGTGAGTCTTTTATTTATTTATTCTCCAAAGTTATATACATAAATTAAGAAAAATATTATAAAATTTGTAATCCGGCAGAAGAATATATTTCTATTCGCTTACCAACTAAAATTAAACTAAAGCTCAAAACTAGAATCTTTAATCGAATACTGTTCTTTACCAGAATCTTATAAGCATTGCTGTTGCTGTATTATATTACTTCAAGGACACTTTACCGTTTTTTTAATATTAGATCCTTTCCATTTTATTTAGCATTGGTGGGTAAGTAATTTCTACGGCGCATGTTTCTGTCTAGTATAGAAACATACTTTTTACTTTTGTGTTATAGTTCTGAATTGCATTTGTAACATGACGTAGAGACAATGTTATCAATAATTATTAGGTCTTTTTGTTTGGGTTGTAATTTAAGTAAATACACTGACAAAGAGAGTCAAACTTGTGGGTCACCGATCTTAATGAAACTTTGCACACGTCTTTTTTAGTCAAAAATATTAGCCTCTGTTACGTGACGTCTTATTATGTTACAAAAATATACTATCGAATAAAACCTTGCTCTCGGGATTTTTTCGTTCGGACATAGCATAGCTAGCAGTATTCGTGTGCGCGACTCGGTGGGAATGAGCAATAGAGGCTGATTCATGCTGAGCTGGCATGCTGGGACAGCACGCTGCAGTCAGCGTGCTTAGCTAGGTAAGACGACCCGCCACGAGAAGCGTAAACATCTGAAGCGTATACGCGAGAGAGAGACGGTATGCTCGGGTCAAAGGCTATAAAATAAACCAGCGAAACCAGAGCAGCAGAATTCAGTTAGTTAGAAGCGAGCGCTCAATAAAGAAGCCTACGTTTTTCCTACTTGAAGTTAAAAACTATAATAGAAGTTTGAGAGTATAATTGTTTGAGTTGTGATTAACTACACTATTGGATAAAGAATATATTGGACAAGTTGACCATACGAATTATCACTCTCTTGCGATTAACTACACTATTGGATAAAAAGAAATATATTGGCCATATCACGAACCAAACAATATTTTGGACCTAGACAACAGAGTGAGTACTTTTGGGCTCTATTCTCGATAAGCTGAAATCTCTTCTTCCTTGTATTTTTTTTATTATCTCTCTCTCTTCGCTCTAATACTACTAAGCATATTCAAGGTTCCCCTTTTGGTGAATCCACGTGATTGCGTACCGGGACCAAGTGTGTAAGCACCGCTGCCCGCGCAATTTAGAATACTTATTTAATAAATCGCGAACCACATAGTAGCGCAATATTATTACTAGAAGTGTTATCTGACGTATTAAAATATATATATATATATAAATCTATCTAACGTACCCGTGTAAGTTCATTTAAGTAAACCGGCGAAGCCCCCTCCCTTTTTCCTTCCCGATTACTGCCGCCTACCCCTCGCAAGGACGAACTTCGGATATTATCGACAAAGACGCGATCCATTCGCTGACACGGTCGGGGTACCGTACTGAAGGTTTAGTCCGCCCGAGTCAGGACCACTCGGAGCTAAAAACGGTCTAACACGTGCCAGTTTTGAAGAGACATCAAAACTGTTACGTAACAGCCTCAATTTCTTTGAATAGGCCTTTCTTCGTTAATTATCCAAATATATTCATTTTTTTTATTCAGTCGACGTATCAGATACTATGTTATTTTTAAGGACTACAAAAAGTTATCTTCAAGAGAGTGATATATGTTCTTCATGTATTTTTTTCATAGAATACAATGGCGCCATTAAATTTATTATAAAACCTACCTTGTCGTCCGTTAAAAGTGAAAAACTAAATTTTTTAGAGCTACTTTAGTAGTGTCTTTAGTAGTTTGTTGTTTCTAGCTGCTTTGTAAATCTTAAAATAATATTCGACGTCTGTTAGCCGTTATTGACAATCATCAAAGACATTGATTTTATGCCAATCTCATATTGGTTATTTGTTGAACAGTATTATATTGCTTTTATATTCTTCATCCCCGACTATAACTTTAACTTGCAAATTGCATTCCTTTAAAATTTTGCTATGATTTATTAAGTGTACGCCAGCACTTGCTTCCATAGCCTTCGCACTATCTTGGAAATTAAGGTGACAGTCGAGTGACACTTTTATCGTGCTTCATATCACATTTTCTACATTTGCGATTTCATAATCATAAATAATAAATAATCTAATTTGCGATTTCATGAATGCGTAGCATAATCCAAATTTTTTCCGCTTAAAAATCCAACAAGAGTATTATAACCGTTCAGGCTATCATAACTACGACTGTTTTCGCGTTTTCTCCAAGCCATGTCAAATGCAACTATAATAATTATCATTTTTCCTAGAGCTGAGTGAAATGTTTCATTAATTTTTTGATTGGAATTGCTGGATTTGAGGGTTGTGAGGGGATAAATATCATTTACCATGCTCTTTCACCTGTAAAAAACAATATTGCAACGGTAGTCGATTCGATTAATTGATCCGTTCGTGATTCGGTAGCACTCGTGATGCTAAAGCGAACGACTAAGAGAGAGAGGGGGCGCGCGAGAGTTCCAAGTTTTCAGTTAAGCCTCAGCTGTTACTTAAGAGAGTACCGCCAAATTATTTTTCACTGTGTTTTGCCGTTTTGATAATCAAAAATAGTTTCCTGGGATTTTTGATACGTGCATGAGTAAGCGTAAAGGTAATCACAAGCAGCAGCAAGCAGATAGCAGCATTAAGTGCAGCAACAACAGTTTGGAAGCAAGCGAAGCAGCACAGCTGGTTTCTGAGGAGTACCTTCAGTATTTTGCTTCAACAATTACGGCTGATCACCGTAATTGCACGGCAGGGTAGGTGCACCTCCCTTTTTCTGTGCGACAAAATATTCATGAGAATATTTTGTCGAACGCGACTGTTATCACATTCGCGCCGAGCGTTAGTTTTCGTGGCAGAGTTTTGAATTCTCTCTCTCTCTCTTCCCATATTATTGTTAATAATTGTAAATCCTATTCGCGTGCGATAGTCTTTCGGCCCATCAAAGACTGTAATTTTCTAGTCAAAAACGATATTAATTTTATTCGCCGTATTACATTATTTCGTTTCCTATTAGTTTAACGGATCTATCACTAGGTAAATTTTAAACTAATATCATCTAGGGGATTAGTTGGAATAAACATTAGATCACTCACACCTAAGATAGATCGAATGTCACAAGTTAGGTGACTTAAGATGAATCTTGGATTTAACTAACAACAAAACATGAAGACACAACAAAGTAATAATAAATTCTTGACACGGTTAGAATACCAAAAAAAGATACTTTTAAAATTAGAGATCAATGACTTGTATATTCATATCAACTTTTTGAGAAAAAGACTCAATGCTTTGTCACATGTGATGGGTACTTTGCGTATAGACGGTGATGCTTTGCAGGAGTTTAGATTACTAACGGAAAGAAAGAGTTTACAAATTTTCTATAGATTGGAATTAAATCTGAATAAAAAATTCCTATATTTGAAAAAGACTTTTCGTGATACAATTAATGTAGATAGTAAGAAGGATAGAGGAAAATGGATGAAAAATCTTACAGATACACATCTTCCTACTCAAGTTATAAATGTTGTATCTCTGGGTGACAGATTTAATTTGAATGCCCCTTTGTTTGACAATGATATTATTAGCACTATTAAGAATGTGGAACATAGTTTTAAAAAGTTTGAATTGAGAACTGATGATGAATATAAAAATAAAAAAGAGGTTAGAGAAATAATTATTAAAACTTTGGAAGGTGCCAAAAAATCATCACAGGTTATGAATAAGTTTGAGAAGAGTCTGATTGGGGATGTCAAATTACTAAACAATTCTTGAAAGAGAATCCGGAAATATTTTTTACTAAGGTTGATAAGGGGAATGTTATAGTTTGTATTAATAGAAATGAATATATATCAAAAACGGAATTACTTTTTAGTGACTGAAATACATATAAAGTTTTAAACAAGTGTCCTTTAAAAAAATTACAATCATCAGTATACAATATCCTCAAAGATTTTAATGAAAATGGGTATCTGGGTGATTTCAAATTCAGTAATGAATCTTTGTCTCAAACACAAACAGTTTTAGCAAGACCTTATTCCCTTCCAAAAATTCATAAACTTGACACACCTTTTCGTCCGATTGTTTCAACTATCAATAGCCCGGTAAATTTTTTGTCAAAAATTTTAGATAAATGGCTTAACGAGTGTATTAAAAATCCAAATTCGCATGTTAATAATAATTTTGAATTAATCCAGAAACTAACATTAATGATTATTCCCCATGATTATTGTTTACTCTCGTTGGACGTATCATCATTGTCCACGAATGTACCAGAGTCGTTGGTTATTGATAGTTTAGATAAAATATTTCACCAAATTTACACTCAATGTAAAATTTCACACTCAATGTAAAAGAGAGAGAGAGA